CTAACAGTTATGAAAACTTAACACTTTGTTCAACCAGGACCACTAACAGTTGTCTAAACTTAAGACCTTGTTTAACCAGAACCACTAACAGTTATGGAAACTTAAGACTTTGTTCAACCAGGACCACTAACAGTTGTCTAAACATAAGGCCTTGTTCAACCAGGACCAGTAACAGTTGACGCCTTTGTCTAAACGTAATACCTTGTTCAACCAGAACCACTAATAGTTGTCTAAACTTAAGACCTTGTTCAACCAGGACCACTAACAGTTATGGAAACTTAATACTTTGTTCAACCAGGACCACTAACAGTTGTCTAAACTTAAGGCCTTGTTTAACCAGGACCAGTAACATTTGACGCCTTTGTCTAAACTTAATACCTTGTTCAACCAGAACCACTAACAGTTGTCTAAACTTAATACCTTGTTCAACCAGAACCACTAACAGTTGTCTAAACTTAATACCTTGTTCAACCAGAACCACTAACAGTTGTCTAAACTTAAGGCCTTGTTTAACCAGGACCAGTAACAGTTGACGCCTTTGTGTAAACTTAATGCCTTGTTCTCTTTCACTAACAACTTTGCTGTACAGAAAGACTTTATTCTGAGCTTGGAAGTCCGATTGGTTGTCTGGTATATAAACACAAGTATTATACAGAACGACTTTATTCTGAGCTGGGAAGTCCGATTGGTTGTCTAGTATATAAACACAAGTATGAAAAGAGTTAATAAAAGATAGTCACTACAAACAGTGCTCCACCTTCCTCAACCGGTTCCGAGATCACATCATGGTGCCTCAATGTTAACTTTCTAGACAACCTGATAACAAAACAGCTTTACACTAACCTCAACTACACAGAAATCAGAAGATTTCTGTTAGAAAACAACCACTCGGGTTTCGTAAGTTATCAAACTATGTAAATATAGGCGTTACATTATTGGAAATCTGACAATAAAAGAAACCCGTCCAGTTTACAACTAACATAAACTTCCAATACATTCTGGAATTAAAGAAACACTAAGAAAAGTTGAAATCATTGGGCAAGACTGACAAATAAAAACCAGGATATGTGATTAATATATTTTGAACTGATGCCCATCGAGCTCGAGGTAGTCACCAAGATATACAAACAAATTAGATATTACCTGGTCAATAAACATAGTCTAAAGTGTACAAATAAAGGAATAGAATAAAGCCGTAATATTATGTTCAAGAAACTAAAGTAAGCACAATGATTACAGCTATAGTTTTACAAAACATTAGATTTACTTATATAACGACAGTTTGTGACTTTTCATTGCACAAACATGATATCTGCCAAAATAATTTCAGTAGAAATTAATTAATAAATAAAGAACAATCTAAATTAATATTGAAGGTAACAAGAAGATCAAGTATTTATACAACTGACAAATATGTGTACATGTTTTGATATCTGAGTTTTAAAATACCAGTTTCTTAATTAATACATTGTATAGGGGCCTACTTTTCTTCAAAGTTTCAGTGGCGCCGCGCCTGGTAGCTGTGTGTGGTATCATACTTCATGGCTTGGAATCTGTATGATGTCCTTTCTATTAACCTACATTACACTAGCATGTGGTGGAGTCGATTGTATACACATGCAGTGAATTGGGGTGAAGTTAGAAGGCGTGAATTCTGTAAATATCCCCTCAACGTCGGTCTGACGCTCTAGGGTACTTTTACCATCCTGGAGAACCTATTCCCTTATTATAATCCAAAATTAGAGAAACTGATATGATATTAACAATATATATATATTACCACTGAATTATAACACTAAAACAAGTGTTCACATATCAACCTGCCCCCCAGTGGCACAGCGGTATGTCTGCGGACTTACAACACTAGAATCCGGGTTTCGATACCCGTGGTGGGCAGAGCACAGATAGCCCATTATGTAGCTTTGTGCTTAATTACAAACATATCAACCTACTTCAATGAAATTATTTAACAAAAGAGGAGAAACAAGTAATATAACAATTGTGCAAAAATTAAGTGTGATGTAGGGATGGTAAAAAGTACAGAAACAAGATAGGGGTGAATACACAAAACTATACAAAAAATCCCTACACTAGTAGTCAGTAAGTACTGAGTCAATTTTACAAGCTTATGGTTATTAGTCACTGTAAGACTGTATAGTAATATTCAGTTTTAATGTTTTTATTCAAACAGGAATTCAACATTTAGTTGCAGATAAAAGTTATTCTTATGTAATGAATGTTGTATGGTTTAATGTATTCAGCCCTACCTTGTTTCTGGACTTACTGCCATCCCAACATCACACGTAATTTGTTAAAAACATTCATTTTATTACTTGTGATTATTTACCCTAGTACATTGTGTTTCTAAGATTATGTTATTATTATTTACCCTAGTAAATTGTGTTTCTAAGATTATGTTATGATTATCTACCCTAGTACATTGTGTTTGGAAGACTATGTTATGATTATTTACCCTAGTACATTGTGTTTGGAAGACTATGTTATGATTATTTACCCTAGTACATTGTGTTTGGAAGACGGTG